CGTTGCTTGGGAGGCAACCCTAGATGTACAATCTAGCCAACTATAGGTTTTCTTTTCGATATAGGAGCTTTCTTCTTTTATTTTGATTTTCGTAGCTCTTTAGATAGGTGATTTATTTTTATATTAGTGTTGGCTAGATATAGAGTGGGGTCCGTGTCTAAAAAGTGTGCAGAAAATGTAAAAAGAAAGTCCTAATGGTTGCTACGTGTGTAGGGACGAAAGGAGAAATCTACAGAAAAACAGTAGTGCAGTGTTCTACGGACCCCATCGACGGTTCGTTGGTCAATCCACGGACTGTGAATGGCATCCATAGATCCTAGGTAAGTTCCCAATTTTTTCTAAGTGTCAGGGTGACCTATGGAGTTAACCCACGCTTCATAGGTTGACCCACAAACCATCAACGGGGTCTCGTGGGTCCAAAATTAGGTTTTCTGCCAACCCGACCCAGATTCCTTTTAAATAAAACCCTTTCATTTTAAACATTTCCCACGTCCATATATTCCCCCCCCCCCCAAACAATTTTTCAACCTTCAACATCCCCATAATCACGCTAATAACTCCCATATCATCCCCCTAATAAATTTCCCAGATCCCATAATTCCCTTGTTCTCTCACAAATTAGTTTCATAAGATCTTCTCCCCTAAATTGATTTCACAAGTCTAGGTTCGATGTCGAAAGGCTAGAAAAGGTTCAAAGAGTTCATTGCACTAGCACACTTACCCACTTTGATTACTTGTAAGGTAAACGACTTCACCCTAACTTTGAATTTCATTGTTCTTTGTTTAAATTTTGAAGTCACGAAGTTAGATCTTGACCTTGGGTTGTTAATATTCTAGTTGAATATTGAATTGTAGTTAGAAACACCCTTGGAACGATAGAATGTGAGTGTGTTATGATTTAAAACCACATAAATCAAGTAATGGGTCTAATTGGATGTTTTTACTTAGGGTTCGTAGTTTGATCGGTTAAAAAGTTAAATTTTGTGCATTCGGAACCCTAAGGATGATAAACTACCATCTTATTTATTGAAATGCATGTATAGGACAAGTTTGTTTATGTAATTATTGAAAGAAAAGGCACAAAATTGAGTCAAGTTCTGAAACCTGGCACATAACTCACCCACGACTCCCCATCCACGGATCGTAGGTCGGGAACCGTGAGTCTGTTAGACACAAAGTTTTTACTAATTGTCAAACCACGATGTGGAATACGGTCTGTCGTTCCATCGACTGACTGTTCTACACATCTGAGATCTAATTTTTGGTACTCTGACCTACAAAAGGGACCCACGGACAGTCATTCCATTGACGAACCGTAGGTGCCCACCGTGGGTCAATAGTTTAGCTACTGTCCAAAAACAATTTTTGTTTGGGTCCGTTTCTTATTCTAAAATTCTTCCATGTGTTTTCTTGTCTTGTTTTGGTACTAACTAAGCTTCCACAGGTACCATGGCTCCTAAGCAAGCCCCCACCTACGCTCCAACAGGCAAGTCCAAGTTTGTAGCAACTTTTCGACGGCTAATCGCTAACGATGATGATGAGTACATTCTGCCAGCCACCATGACCTCCCCTACTGCTCCCTGCACAACTATGAACAGAGCCCAGCGGGTGATTTCCAACAAGGTCACTACCCCCTAGTCTGAGGAGTGGGCCACACCGATCAGCTCACAGGCTGACTCTCAGTCTTAGTTCGGCCCCGATTTGAGTGGCAGCACCGCCTCCTCTTATGAGGTTGATAGTACGGGCAACATTCCAGTGACCCTAGTTCTGAGCCTACACCAGTCACTACGGAGCCTAACAGGTGGTATGTGACAGGGAAATATCAAATATACAGCGATGCTCGCATGTTGAATAAGCACGGGAAGATGGTCAGAGTTGTCACTAAGGAGCATCGTATTCTCACAGGCAGCCTCCACACCACTCCAATCATCCACCATCTTTTTCGGAGGCACGAATATGAGTGGATGGAATGGATCCCAAGGTCCTATAGCGAGGAGATACTCCGAGAGTTCTATGCTTCTTATACAACCAGCGTCATAAATTCCATCTCCAAATGTGATAACGATCAAGGAAGGAAAGGAATAAAGAAAGAAAGGATATGTGGATTAATACTCAAGTTATTGAAATTATGGGCAACAAGGGACTAAAACCCTTACCTCCCAATTGACTTCAACAACCTAAGTTCAACCCAAGGAAGAATAATCAAATGAAACCAAGAATCACAAAGGGGTAACACTTTGATTAATCAAACACAAGAAGTTAACAAGCAATCCCAAGAGTTCACCCTAATTACTCACTAAGAAGATACTATAATTTGATAGTCAATATTCAATATAGTCTAAGTCTTCCCAAAATAAAAGAGACTACTATTTACACTAAAAAAATAAACAAGACACTTTTTGACAATTTTACCCTTAATGAGATAAGGGCCTTGTTTGGTTGCCTTCTTTTGTGAATTCTTGAATTCATGAAATGGTCATTTCCATACATGGCCTATTTCCTTCTTCCTTCTCATTTTGAAATACCTTACACACATTGTATGTTTTTCTTTGGTGACCTTCAAGCTCCTCTAATGCTTCCCTTTTCATGAACATTGCTTGTAGTCCTTGGGGATCCTTTGCTTGACTCCGTGTGAATGGTCTTGAGGGGTATATGCCACACATGTTAGTGTCATCCATGCTGCCCATGTTATCATCCTCCCCTTCTTGAAAATGATTCGTCCTCGAATCCAAAGGATCACCTACAACACAAGGAGACAAATCACTAACATTGAAAACATTATGAACATTATACTCACTTGGTAGGTCAATCATGTAAGCATTGTCATTGATTCTCTTGAGTACTTTGAAGGGTCCATCCCCTCTTGGGCTTAGCTTCCCTTTTCGTACTTATGAAAACCTCTCCTTTCGGAAATGCACCCACACCCAATCATCTGGATCGAAGATCACTTCCTTTCTCTCTCGACTCTTTCGAATGGCCACCTTTGAATTGTTCTTTTCAATGGCCTCTTCCACCTTGGCATGAATGTTCATCATCTCCTTTGCCCTTTTCTTGGCATCTAGGCTCACAACAACATCGCTAGACAAAGGAATCATGGTTAATGGAAACAAAGGTTTAAAACCATAACATGCCTCAAATGGAGACATTCCAATAGAGGAGTGGAAAGACCGATTATATGCAAATTCACTCAAGGGTAAACGGTTTTTCGAAGTAGTTGGGGTTCCTCTAATCATGCATCGAAGCATGCTTCTAAGAGTCCGGTTGACTACTTCGGTTTTTCCATCCGTTTGAGGATGGCAAGAAGTAGAGAACATAAGTTTGGTTTCAAGTGTACCCCATAGACTCTTCTAAAAATGACTAAGAAACTTGGAGTCCCTATCACTAACAATGGTTTGAGGGACTCCATGCAATTTAAGCACATTGATAACAAACAAAGATGCTACATGGGATGCATCATCACATTTATGGCATGGAATAAAATGAGCCATTTTAGAAAATCTATCCGCTACCACAAATATACTATCATGTCCTCTTTTAGTCCTAGGAAGTCCCAACACAAAGTCGATAGAAATATCCATCCACGGACCATTTGGAGTAGGAAGAGGAGTATACTTACCTTGGAGCCTAGTCATGGATTTGGCTTGCTTGCATTCTAGACATTGTCCACAAATCCTCTCCACATCATGCTTCATCTTGGGCCAAAAGAACTGCTCCTTAAGAATATCAAGTGTTTTTGGTACCCCAAAGTGTCCCATCAAACCACCACTATGAGCCTCCTTGACAAATAACTCTCTCCATGAGCTCATGGGAACACATGCTCGGCCATCTTTGAAAAAGAAACCATCAACCAATTGGTACCTATCAACTCGCTTCCCTTGACTAAGATTATCAAAGGTATCTTTGAAGTCGGAATCCATAGAATAGAATCCCTTTAAGCTTTCAAACCCCATCATTCTAGAAACCAAGGTATTGACCAACACAAACCTTCATGATAGAGCATCCGCTACCACATTTTCCTTGCCTTGCTTGTAGTTGATCACATATGGAAAGGTTTCAATGAATTCAACCCACTTAGCATGTCATTGGTTCAACTTGGATTGCCCCTTGAGATGCTTCAAGGAATCATGATCGGTCCTTATCACAAACTCTTTGTGCCACAAGTAGTGTTGCCAATGAGCCAACACTCGCACAAGTGCATACAATTCCTTGTCATAAGTTGAGTACTTGATTGTAGCTCCCTTTAACTTTTCACTAAAGAAAGCTAATGGTTTTCCTTCTTGCATCAACACACCACCTATACCAACACCTGAAGCGTCACATTCAATTTCAAAGGCCTTGTCAAAGTTGGGTAGTTGAAGCAAGGGTGCAGAACTCAACATCAATTTCAAGGATTGAAAAGACTTCTCCAGCTCTTCACCCCATACGAAAGGTACATCTTTCTTGATCAGTTCGGTCAAAGGAGCAGCAATTGAACTAAAGCCCTTCACAAATCGCCGATAAAAACTTGCTAACCCATGAAAACTTCTTACCTCAGTTGCACTGGTTGGGGTCGGCCAAGTCTTGATGGACTCCACCTTCTCGTCATCAACCTCAATCCCATTTGCACTAACCACAAAACCCAAAAACACAACTTTATCAACACAAAATGAACATTTCTTGAAATTAGCAAAGGGACGCTCTCGTAGTAGGACATCAAACACTTGTTTCAAATGGGATACATGTTCCTCCATTGTCTTACTATACACAAGTATGTCATCAAAATACACCACAACAAACTTGTTGATGAAAGGTTTGAGAACATGGTTCATCAATCTCATGAAAGTGCTTGGGGCATTCGTCAATCCAAATGGCATCACAAGCCATTCATACAGCCCAAACTTTGTCTTGAAGGCTATCTTCCACTCATCACCCGGTTTCATACGAATTTGATGATACCCACTTCGAAGGTCAATCTTGGAGAAAATAATAGAACCACATAGCTCATCTAGCATATCATCAAGTCAAGGAATGGGATGTCGATACTTCACCGTGATCTTATTTACGGCTCTACAATCAATACACATTCTCCAAGTGCCATCTTTTTTGGGAACAAGAATTACCAGTATGGCACAAGGACTTAGGCTTTCTTTGATCAACCCCTTCTCAAGAAGCTCTTCCACTTGCCTTGATAGCTCTTTGGTTTCTGCCGGGTTACTCCTATAAGCTGGACGATTGGGAATTTGTGAACCCGGTATAAAATCTATTTGGTGCTCGATTCCCCTCAAGGGTGGTAATCCAGCGGGCATCTCATCTGGAAATAGCTCATCATAGCCCTGCAAAGAGAAGAAATAATACTAGGCAAAGTGCTAGTATCTTGGTTAGCATGTAACAAAAGGTTGGTGTTTACAAGGCACACTAGAAAGCATTCCTCATCCACACCCTTTAAACACTTGCTTGGCTTTGCTATCATGCACATGTTCTTATTATTTTTAACCAAGGCACTCCCCTCCTTTGGAACGATGGTAGAACTTTCACTTTCACCTTTTGCCGCCTCGTCTTTTATTCTCTCCCGAAGCTCCTTCATAGCCCGATAGTCCTCACTCACTTGATATGGAGTGAGAGGTGCAAGCACATACTTTTTACCTTCAATCACAAAAATGTATTTGTTGGATCTTCCTTGGTGCACAACATCTCTATCAAATTGCCAAGGTCTCCCCAACAGTAGGTGACATGCCAACATGGGAACCACATCACTAACCAATTCTTCATTGTACTTTCCCACACTAAATCGAATACTTGCTTGTTTGAGGACCTTTATCTCTCCACTCTCGTTGAGCCATTGTAGCTTATAAGGATTGGGATGCTTGCTGGTTTGTATTTTCATACGCTTCACCAAGGAACTACTCACCACATTGATGAAACTCCCGCCATCAATGATTAAAGAACACACTTTATCTTGGATTTTGCACCTAGCATGAAATAGATTCTCCATTTGGTCAAGTTCTTCTTTTGCAAGGGCTCTCATAATTCTTCTCACAACACATGAAAGATTGACATTCATGTTCAAGTCTTCATCATCATCAAGCAAAGACTTTCCCTTCTTCATGAAGCAAGCAAAATTCACCCTCTCGTCCAACCTTTCTTCTTCATCCCCTGAAGCACCTTCCTCTCTTTCACCCCTATCTCCCTCTCCCTTATTTTTTTCTTCACCCTCATCTTCATCTTCAGTCTTATATCCATCACGAAGAGCAACAATTGTTCTCCTATTTGGACACTCACTAGCAACATGTCCCCTCCCTTGGCATCTAAAGCATTGAATTGTAGAGGGTTGAGGAAAGTTAGGTTTAACATAGTTACCTCCTTGTGGTTGCTCACTTGCCTTGGATTTGTAATCAAGCTTGACTTGGGCAACTTGACCTCCACCTTTAGGTTGCTCCCTAGAGGATGTCGTCTTCCAATTATCTCTACCTTTGCTCCATGTGGAAGTTAAAGAGCTTTTGGCCTTGTATGACTTTTCTTATTTCAAATATGCTTCTACCTTTGAAGCATCATGGAAAGCCGCTTCAAGAGTCTCATAGTGCTTAAGCTTCAAGGTCTTCAAGATATCATACCTCAAGTTTTCCACGAATCGTATCACCGTACATTCCATATTCTCTTCAATATTAGACTTCATCCGCAAGTTATCAAACTCATCATAATATTCTTCCACAGTTTTGGTACCTTGCCTCAACATGTACACCTTCTTGAGCACCTCTTGGTAGTAATTTGGAGTCAAGTATCTCATCTCCATAAGTGCAATCAACTCTTGCCAAGTAGGTAACTCGTAGTTATGATGGCTCTCCCTTTCCTTCCTCTTGGACTACCACCAGGTTGATGCGTACCCCTCAAATTGCGTGAGAGCATATTTCGCCTTCAAATTTTCTGAGATATTATTTGTGAGAAAGATCCGCTCACTTTGAATTTTCCATTCCAAGAACTCATCGGGGTCACTACTTCCTTTGAACCTTGGAAGTGTGACCTTGATAGTGTTCAAGCCCCTATCTTGATGATCATTCCTCTCCCTAAACCTATTTCCTCTATTTCCCATCTTATCACCTTTATATCCCATCATATCTCCTCTATATCCCATTCTATCTCTTCTATTCCCATATTCTTGATCTCCCATGCCTTGGTCCCACCCTAAGTCCCGAGGTGGTACTCCTTCCTTTCGTACTCCATTTCCATCCCTACCCCTAAGCTCCCAAAACTCATCATTATTGAACTCCTCATGAATTTCATCATAGAGAGGATTTTGGTATTGGTAGTCTTGGTAGGGCATTTGTGGTGCATTTTGTGGATGTGATGTGGGTTCATGAAAAGATGCATTTGAATCATTTCGAAATGGTGTTTGGTATTGGACTTGGTTGGCCACAAAAGGAAGATTCTTCTGTGGCGGGTGAAAGGGTTGTGGATTTGGATGTGGCGTAGGCTGTCTTAGGTGGTTTGGAGGGTTGGGAGTTTGGAAAGTGGGGCGTTGGTAGTTTCGAGTTCGGCTTTGTGGAGGAGAACATAGATTATGAGCTTGTCTCGGAGCAAGGGTGGTGGAATGCACCGATGCCCTCCTTATCTCCTCATATTCGGGTTGAATTGCTTTCCTTCTATTCTCATTTTCCACCCGTACCAACCTTTCCTCCATACCTCCCATCCTTCCAATCATTTCCGCTGCTTGCTTAGAGATGTTGGCGAGAACCTCCATGATGTTCTCCGAGCTCTCCCCAATTGGACTTGTATTAGACATGATACCTACAAAACTCAACAAACAAGATTAGTAGAAAAGCCTCACATCACTCGTATGTAGCTCTCAACTCACCTTCTATGGCGTCGTCTCAAAATTGATAGTGAACTAGCTCCGTTCAATCAACTCAAGATCACCTATCATTTGTGATGGAGTGGATTCTTGCGACTCTTGAAAGAAGGACGACCCAAAAAAAGAAAAAAAACTAACGGACTTGAATCAAGAAGGTTATCAACAAATTAAGATGACAAAAGTAGAAGAAGAAGTACCAAAAAAATTCGGACTCAAAATAAACCAAGTAACAAAAGTAGAAGAATTACTTCTTTTTACTTTAATTTGAAGGATCAAAGAAAAGTTTTGATGATTAAAACTAGTTAAAAGTAATTAAAGATGTTAATTAATTGTTGAATAGCTGAAAATTAGAAAAAAAATGAGTTTAGAAGAAGAAGAAGTGAATTTGGACACTTAGAAAAAAATTATGCCTCAAAGAAGTCCATCACTTGTAAGACTTTGATTGGATGATTTGATGATTAAAACTAGTTAACAAGTAATTAAAGATGATAATTAATTGTTAAATAGTTGAGGAATTGAAGGGAAATATGTTAGAAAAAAGAATCACGAAGTTTGGACACTTAGAAAATTTTTTAGGTCCAACAAACTTCCATACTTAGAATATTTTTGGGGTCTTAAAAAAAACCTGCAGGTTTTGGTCTCTGAAACTCACGCACACGCGCGTCAGGTGCGACTGGGCATCGCTGGCAGGTTGTTTGCTGCACTGGCTGCTGATGTGTCGGTCCACGTGGCACTTTTTGTTTTTTTCAGATTTCGTTTTTTTTTTTTTCTTTCTTTTTTTCAAAATTCCACTAATGGACCCCAAAAAAAACACATTTGACCAACTTTGACTTGAAAAGTTGGATCAAATGTACTTTTCTTCTTTTTTCTTCTTGAAGAGCAAATTGAAGACACCAAGAACACACACTAAACCCCAATACACTAAAATCAACTCGAAATTGGCTCAAAATTTAGGATTTTCTTCCCTTCAACTAAGAGAACAAAGCCCACTAATTATTAACCTCCAATTTCTTCTCAATCAAAAGACCCATTTTCAAAATTTGAAAAGTTTAAAAAGCTTGAAACCCTTCAATGGTAACTTCACTTCTACAAATCCAAATTGAACAAAATTTGAAACCTAGACTCAAAAAACACTAGGTAACAAGGATCTAGTGTCAAAAACAATAAATCAAATCAAAAAAAATTAAAAAAAATCAGATTTTTTTTTTTTTGACAATTTTTTTGGACTCTTTTTTTAAACCAAGACTAGATTTATAAGAAAAAAATCTAAACCTAGGCTATGATACCAAATGATAACAATCAAGGAAGGAAAGGAATAAAGAAAGAAAGGATATGTGGATTAATACTCAAGTTATTGAAATTATGGGCAACAAGGGACTAAAACCCTCACCTCCCAATTGACTTCAACAACCTAAATTCAACCCAAGGAAGAATAATCAAATGAAACCAAGAATCACAAAGGGGTAATACTTTGATTAATCAAACAAAAGAGGTTAACAAGCAATCCTAAGAGTTCACCCTAATTACTCACTAAGAAGATATAATAATTTGAGAGTCAATATACAATATAGTCTAAGTCTTCCCAAAATAAAAGAGACTACTATTTATACTAAAAAAATAAACAAGACATTTTTTGACAATTTTACCCTTAATGAGATAAGGGCCTTGTTTGGTTGCCTTCTTTTGTGAATTCTTGAATTCATGAAATGGTCATTTCCATACATGGCCTCTTTCCTTCTTCCTTCTCATTTTGATGTACCTTACACACATTGTATGTTTTTCTTTGGTGACCTTCAAGCTCCTCTAATGCTTCCCTTTTCATGAACATTGTTTGTAGGCCTTGGAGATCCTTTGCTTGACTCCGTGTGAATGGTCTTGAGGGGTATATGACACTCATGTTAGTGTCATCCATGCTGCCCATGTTATCAAAATGGGCCAAGCCCATTGCTCAGCCTCCACTCGAGATCACCTTAGTGCGAGGTTTCTCGGTCTATATATCAGGTGTCACCCTTCGCAAGTTTATCTATGGCCCGACCACACTCTACCCATCAATACAACAGAGTTCTACTATATGATGGGTATCGTTCAGAGTGGGCCAATTTAGAAGAATACCGATCAGAGGGAGTCATTTTTAAGGTGGCTAGCACAACTTCTTGCCACAGACGGAGAGCGCGCTGAGTGGGTTCAGACTCTTAGCCTGGGTATCAAGAAGGCTAAATTGAGCTTCACCGCGAATTTCTTCTTACTTCTGGTGCGGAATAGACTGTCCCCAACCAAGGCGGACAATGTGGTCACATGGGACTGGGCCATGATGGTTGCAGCCATAGTAGCAGATTTGGAGATAGACTTTTCCCACATCCTGATTGCGGAGATTCATGAGAAGGCCTTCAAGGACACCACCACCCTGCCCTTCATGTGCCTCATCTTCCAGCTCTTTAAGGGTGTCTTTGTCCCCATTTAGCACTGTGAGCAATTGCTTAATGCAACCAAGACTCTGGATATCGGCCTTATTTGGGATGATGCCAATGTAGCTGCACCTTGCAGGGAGCCACAAGTTGAGGTACCACCATGAGGAGATGATCTTGCTACGGATGTGGAGCAGATGAAGGTTGATGACACTGCCCCTCAAGCCCCTACAGCGAATTCCCAGGCTCTTCTGTCTTCGGCCGCCAGTCACTCCCCTATCTCATCCAGAGCCACTCCCTCTTCAAGGTCCACCGCCATCCCTCTAGCTTGAGTTCTGAAGCTAGAGACACAGAAGGCCACCTTGCTGCAGTATATTAGGTTGTGGATGCAACGTTTGATTGAGCAGTATGAGCCTAGGATGGAGCAGCTAATGGACCAGATGTCTTAAGCCGTTCATAAGTGCTAGGATGCGTTCGAGCTGTGAGACTTGGAAAAGCCGGCCTCGACTATTAATTTGTATACCTTCCAGACAGAGTTGGCCAACCTTCGTGCTAATCTGGATACCTTCCTAGCCCCTCCAAAGTCTGCCCCAGATGCTGCCCCAACAAAGGAGGTTGATACCGTGGTGATGTCTATCTTATTTGGTGATTCCATGCCACCACTGAATTATTCCCGTGCTACTGGGAAGCGCTCCCGCTCCGATCGCGCTGCCGACACTGAGGAGGCCCACAGACTTAGAAAAAAAGAGCGTCAGTAGTTAGAAGAGGCTACGAGGGCATCATTACTAGAGGAAGAGATAATACAATAGTGGGCCAGGGAGATAGGTGTTGGCTCATCCGGCAATGTGAGCACTATTGAGGGAGATGGGAGAGTTGATGTGAGCACTATTAAGGGTGCTAGGTTGTTGATGGGAGCGCTACTAATGGCGTTCTGAGTATTGATCCAACGGGCTCCGGAAAATCGGACCCACCCGCTTCTTGAGAGGTCTTCGGCGCATATGCGCCACAGGTTTGCTTCACCATAGCCTTTACTTTTGATTTTTGTGACAATTAAACCTTATTTTGTTGGGGGTGGGCTAAATGGATTGTGAGTGATAGGGTGAAGTCTGAGTAACCCAACTCATAATCCTCTCTTGGGTCTTGCCTGTGTTCTTTTCCACCAAGAGATTGTTTTAATTTTTGCTGAACCGACCTGTTTAGGAATGTAAAATGAAAGCATGATGGCATAAAAAGCATGAAAAAATGATCTTCGTCAAATAAAGTGTGAAATGTTCTAGATCTTTAGGCCTGATAAGTTGAATGTGCTGGATCTCAATGTGACATGATAAGGAACCAATTTGACCACATAACTTAAGCTAAAGCTTGAACTGGGTAATCGAATAATCTGATAATGAAACAATGTGCCAAGTGTGTGTGAGGAGAGCTTGAATGTTCATACAATGTGTGTCAATCTAGAACTTACCCCGTTGGTCCTGCTAAAATAATCTAGGATAGAAGTTTGGAAGTGATCATAGGCCCTTGTTCAAATAAGTCAACTAA